GGGCCCATTTGAGGCGCCAGCCCATCTCTCGTCATTAGAATGCCTAGATATCGAGTAGGAGCGTCAGGTGTCTGCCACATCATGGCCGCCTCATCYCCTTGGAGTGAGAGGGGCTCATCTTYGGAGATCCACCATCCAATTGTTTTCCCCCAGTTGATCCTCATTTCTGAGGCTACTTTGAAGGTCTCCATTGCCTTGGCTAGAGTTCTGAAGGAAGAGTCAGACGCCCTGATGAGGACCGTCAGATCATCCGCGAACATGATAGCTGTAGGAAAGTCCATCTGGTGGGCTGAGCCTACCTCGGTACTGGCTAGTCTGATTGATGGAGCCAGAGGGTCCCCTTGACGGACCGAGCGGGATATCGCGTAGCAGTCTGATAGAAGGTCATTCACTTGAACGCACCCTATAGCATACCTGTATAGTATCCTAACCCATTTCCTGAAATTTGGTCCTACTCCCATCTTCTCCATGCTCGCTTCCATGAAGTCCCAATTTACTTGGTCGTAAGCTTTTTCAAAATCAAAGAAAAGGATAGCAGCCTTTATTTTTCTTTCCCTGATTTTTCTGACCGATTCATTCAGAGTCATCACATTGTCCAGAATATACCGCCCCGGAATAAATCCTGTCTGGTCAATGCGGAAGCATTTGTTGGTAATTTTAGTAATTCGATTGGACAGGGTCTTGGCCATAATTTTGTATGGGAGCGTCAGCAGTGAGATAGGTCTGTAGTTCTTAATGTCGTCCTTCTCACCTTTTTTGTAAAGCAGCGTGACCACACTGCTGCTGAGTAAGTCGCCCAGTCCTCCCTTGGACCAACTGTCATTATAGAAGTTTAGCAGGTCCCTTCCTAGCAATGGCCAGAATTTTTCCTAGAATTCTTTGGTTAATCCGTCGATTCCTGGGGTCTTGTTATTGTTCATTGTTTGAAGCGCCTGATGTAGTTCTCCTAAGGTGATTGGTTTATCAAGTGCTTCGGCCTGTTCTGTTGATATGGTTGGCTCCAGGTAGTGCAGCATTTTCTGTCTTGCTTCTATAACGTTGGTGGGTATTGGTGAGTCCGTTTTAGACTGGTAGAGTTCCTTGTAGAAATTGTTGGCTATTTCTACCATTCCTTCACTGTCTATTCTCACAAATTCAGGAGAGGTGTATGATCTTAGGCCTTCACGTGCTGGTTCTCGAATTTGCTTTGATCTGGGTAAAGAAGTGCTTGGTTATTGAGTCGGAAATCCGGAATATCTGTTTTTCGAAAATTTCGATTTCCTTTCGCAATTTCCCGTTATTTGAAAAATCCGGAATATTTTTTTTCGAAATTCATTTATAAAAAAAAAAACGGTACGGGAAATCCCCCTTGCAGTCGCCATTTTCCAAACTGCGCGTACTGTCATCTAAATGATTCCGAATATTTGTTCGTATTTTATTTTCAGAATCCTTATCGGACACTCACTTGCAGTCTGAAGTTTGAAATTTTTCCTCATTCATAATTTCGCACTTCAGGGGGAATTGGGAGGCCTACTGAACTTGCAAACGAGTATTTTTTTCTTTTTCTCAATTTTTTTTGCCAAGTTCAAACTTTTTTTTATTTATTAGTGGCTCCTTATCTGGGCGATTTATCCCACCCACCCCTCCCCACCTATGTTGTTGCCCCCTCTGGTTTTATCTTCTCTATCGGTCTCTGTGTACCCCCTGTGGCGGCATTGGTAAGTTGCCACATCAGGAGGCCACGTCAGCAGACCACATCAGCATGCCACGTCAGCTGACCACGTCAGCAGGCCATCTCAGCAGGCCATGTCAGCAGCAGGGAGTGCCACGTCAGCAGGCCCCCGGCCTGGTCTATGCTCACGCGCTCGCAAACAGCCGTCATGGACTAGAAATCCGGGGAAACGGACGAGGCCTATCAGGCCCGAATGCTGCTTCTGATTACCGAAGCCAAGCAACGGTCGAATGCAGTAGCAGCCGCAGCAAAGAAGAAGGCAGAGGACGCCGAGAAGGCATGTCTGTTGGCAATCGAACAACAGCGCCAGTAAGACGAGGCAGCAGTCGGAGATCAAGGCAATGGACAAGCCGATGACCTTCAAATAAGGCACGCTGCGGAGTGTTGACTGGATTGCCGAGTACCAACGCTTGACATCCGTCCCAGACATTCAAATGGGCTTCAAGGTTGTCAAACCCTACTTCATCTCGAGGTCGTGTCCGGCGTTGGGCAATGCCTTGACTCACTTCGAGGACACCCTGATGACAACGGCGGAGCTCTTCGACAAGGTCGCACAGATCATTATCACGAACAAGGAGGCCAAGAACCTCCACCGTTCGTCTGCGATAGCCCCAAGCAGAGATCAGCATCGGGCGAAAGTGGTCGTGGTCGAGGCGGCAACGCCAAACGACCAATCTAGCGAAGCCGTGTCCGCCAATAAAGGGTACAGACTCGCAGCCGCCCGGGATGGTGGCCGCCCCGGCAAAGGCCGAGGACGCGGCAAGACGAAGACAAACACCGCATCTAGCCCCGGGCCCGGCGCAACAGCTCCAGCCCCATGGTCCCACTACGGTCTCTCCGAACAGGCATACAAGGCACGTACGAGATTCCACAATTGTCTGTGGTGTAACAACGATCTCCACGACACAATGGGCTGCCCGTCGAAAGGCAAAGGCAAATCGGGAAACTGAGCACCGGGGGGAGTGACTCGACGACACTCTCAACGCTTTCGGAACCGGTCGCTTCACGGGTGACCACCCTTCGTTCCGAGGCACATGCGGAAGTCGATAGTCCTCCTCTTCTATATTCTTATAAGAACTACGCTGCCCGGCTCGTTCCTACGCTGGGTACTCATGCTCAAGGACAAGACGTGTGTGCAGCATCTTCTCCGTCCGGCACCGGCGACTTATCGTCTTCAAGTGGTTTTTCACGGGATTCGGCGCGCGAGTTCAACATAGAGGTATTGGACCCGCTCACGTCCGAGGATTTCGCATGGCCGGGATCGCAATGCGCAGCATTATGCGCTCATCTTCACACGTATCTATCCTTCTATGCACCACCAACTTCGCCGACGGATGACGAAGCTGCGGTGGGGGACATCCTTGCGTATGTTACCAAGGTGGCCCGCGAGTTTCGCAAGCAACAGTACGATGATAACAACGCACCGCTCCTCTATATCCGCATCCAAGTTGGGCAAGTGTCCTGCAGCGCTTTGCTGGATAGCGGCGCGTCTCGCAATTCATGAGCCAATCCTTTATGCAAAGGGTTGGCCTTGGCACACAAGTTTGGAGGAAGGCAAACCCGACGGCGATCAAGTTGGCGGACGGAAGGACGCAACAACTTATCGACCGCTACATCGAGGCCGTACCGGTGTATTTCGCACCTCATGCATGCGAATCGGTGATGTTCGACATTTTGGACACGGACTTCAATATTATTTGGGAATGTCTTGGCTTGCAAGTGCGGATCACACGGTCAATACCCATCGGCGGACTCTTACCGTTCTCGACGCTTTCGATGCCGAAGTGTCGTGTACTATTCCTCTTCCGCACCCTTCGATCCGATGCCAAGTGGTGACGGCCAAGTCATTCCGGGCTACTTGTGCTTACGAGCAGCCCGGCGAAATTGGCCTATGTTTCCTACAGTCCGTCGCGGTAGCCGACTCTTCACCCACGGACTTGTCTTCGGACCCCCGTGTGGTGCGGTTGCTTGACGAGTTTGCCGACATCTTTGAGTCACCTACCGGTGTGGTGCCGGATCGGCCAATCTCTCACGAGATCATTCTTGAGGTCGGTGCCGTGTCGCCGAAAGGTTGCATTTACCGCATGAGCGAGGAGGAGCTTACGGTCCTCCGCGCACAACTCAATGACTTGTTGGACAAGGGCTGGATCCGCCCTAGTAGCTCTCCATATGGAGCGCCAGTTTTCTTCGTACGGAAGACGAACAAGGATCTACGATCGTGCATCGACTACCGCAAGCTCAACGCGCAAACCGTCAAGAATGAGGGGCCTCTTCCGCGTATCGACGATCTTCTTGAGCGTTTGGGCGGCGCAAAGTACTTCTTTAAGTTGGATTTGAAGTCGGGATACCATCAGATTTCGATCCCGCCGAACGATCGCTATAAATCCGCATTCAAAATGCAGTATGGGAATTTTGAGTGGGTGGTCATGCCTTTTGGCCTCACCAACACCCCGGCGACCTTTCACGCGGCAATGACCAACGAGTTTCATGCGATGTTGGACCGGTTTGTGCTGGTCAACTTAGACGATATTCTCGTCTATAGCCGATCATTGGAGGATCATCTTGAGCACCTTCGACGAGTGTTGGAGACGCTCCGCCGCACCAAGTACAAAGCTAACCACGACAAGTGCGAATTTGTCTGGCAAGAGCTGGAATACTTGGGCCATTTTGTCACACCGGAGGGCATCAGTCTGTTGTCGGACAAGATTCAAGCCATCCAAGAGTGGTCGGAGCCACGGAACGTCACGGATGCCCGTTCGTTCCTTGGTCTTGCCGGCTACTACCAACGTTTTATCAAGGGATACTCGAAGATTGTGGCCCACTTGACCAAGCTTCAATGCGAGGATTGGCCGTTTGACTTCGGGGAGGATGCGCGGGAATCATTTTGGTTCTCAAAGCCGCGTTATTATCTGCGGAGGTCTTGCGCATATACGACCCGCTATTGCCAACGTGCGTCACTACGGATGCGTCCGGCTATGGCATTGGTGCCGTCCTCGAACAACACGATGGCGTGGACTGGCACCCGGTCGAGTACTTAAGCAAGAAAGTGTCCGTCGTGCACTCCATTGATGATGCACAAAAAAAGGAGCTCCTAGCCTTCGTCCACGCGCTCAAGCGTTGGCGGCACTTCCTCCTTGGTCGAAGTCAATTCCGATGGGTAACGGACAACAATCCGTTGGTCTTCTACAAGACCCAAGACACCGTCAATAGCACCATCGCCCGTTGGATGGCTTTCAATGACCAATTTGACTTCTTTCCTGATCACATTCCGGGGAAGTCTAACCGTTTTGCGGAAGCTCTTTCACGGCGTCCGGATCATAATACCGCAGTCCATTCGACCTTCGAGATCGACGACGAACTGCGGGACAGTTTCATCCGCGGCTACCAAGCCAACCCCGAGTTTCGCGACAAGTACGCGAATTGCTCCTCTCCTAATCCGGCGCCTTCTCACTACCAGATCCAAGAGGGGAACTTGCTTGTCCACACGCGGGGGAAGAACCTTTTTTGCGTACCGAGTGACTCTCAGTTGTGCACATGACTTCTTGGCGACTTCCACGATGCTCCTGCCACCGGACATTTTGGAGTCAATCGCACGATTGGCCGACTGCGCGAGCGATTTTGGTGGTCCGGCCTTCTCGGCGACGTCACACACTATTGCGAGTCATGCGAGGTTTGGCGACGCTGCAAATCCCGCAACCATTGTCCGTACGGCGAGTTGCGACCATTACCGGTCCCCTTGCGCCGAAGGGAAGCAATTGCCATGGGGACATTACTGGGCCATTCCCCAAGGACAAGACCGGTGTGGATGGGATTCTCACGGTGGTCGACCAAATCACCAAGATCGCCATGTTTTTGCCTTGCGGCTATCATGCCAAGGCGCCAGAGTTAGCCGAGGTTCTTTACGCCAGTTGGATTCGAACCAAGGGTTGCCCCAAGGAAATCGTATGTGACGGCGACACTCGGTTCATGTCCGATTTTTGGTTGGCGCTCATCAAATGATCGGGCTCATCTCTCAAGCCAAGTTCGGCTCGCCACCCCCAAACCGATGGCCAAACGGAGAGGGCCCATCAGACCGCACATGTTCTCCTTCGCACTCTCATCCGTCCCGACCAAAAGGAATGGGTTGAGCGGCTGCCGGATTCGAGTTGGCATAAAACTCGTCCATCCACCCGGCTATCGGGATGTCGCCCTTCGAGTTCGAGCATGGCTCGCCGGTCACTTCTCCGTTGGACACAATCATTCCACGAACAGTCGAGAGCGACGAACATCTTTTTTTCTTGCGTCGGATGCAAGAGCTACTTGTCAAGGCACGCGACCAGATGGCTAAGACGCAGCAACGCATGAGCCAACAGACCAATCGCCAGCGTCTTCCTTGCCCATTCCGCGTCGGCGATCTCGTTTGGGTTTCCGCCGCGGAATTCAGCCTTGAACAAGATATCTTTCGCAAGCTCCTCCCGAAATGGATGGGGCCCTAGCCGATCGTGGCACCCGCTAGGGATGCACCTGAAGGACCTTCTTTCACCATTCAAGTGCCCCCCCACTTGCCCATCTACCCGGTCTTTCATTGCTCCAAGTTGGCGTTTTACACGCCAGCGGAACATGACGATTTTCCCGGGCGACGATCGCAAGACCCACCATCTATGGACGGTTTTCAAGAGGTCGGCGACATCATCTCCCAGCGACGCTACGGCAACAGGCCAACCGAGTACTTGGCACACTTTGCGTACTGCACTCACAATGTTGACCGTTGGTTGACCCGTGCGGAACTCCAAGCAACAGCTCCCGATGTTCTCGCACGCTACGAACGCAAGATACAAGGCAAGCCGGTATCCTCGGCTCCACGTCGTCCAGGTTCCACCTTCAGATCGTCAACTTTGCCCTTGACCCGGCTTGACTTCATAAGGAAGGGGGGGTGTTACATGCTGCGCCTGCAACAGGCTGCACGGGCCATTTTCAGGCCAGTGTCGTTTTCAGCCTGAAAGCCTGAGAACAAGGGCCTACAGGCCCTGTGTCGTTTCAGCCTAAAACAGGGCCTTTCCGGCCCTGAGTCTTTTCAGCCTGAAACTGAGGGCCATTTTCAGGCCCTCATAAGATCGACCTGCCCTGAAACTCAGGCACCAGACCAGGGTTTTAGCACAGGCCATTTTGGGCCTGTTTTCAAGACAACCCTTGGTTGAGCTTCAGCGCCAGGGTCTGGCACGTTTTGGCATTGGCAAGAGCAGCCTCCTGGACGGGCCAGCACTATATAGGACTGGCCCGGCAGGTAGTTCCTAGGTACTCCCCAGGCACTTCACGTGCAGTTCAGGAGGCAGGAGGTAGGATTCGGCAGCAGGGCGCTGCAGGAGTAGTAGTAGCGCTAGCAGTAGTCTTCAGCGCTGGGCGCTAGTAGCGTTAGCAGTAGTCTTCAGCGCTGGGCGCTATCAGGAGCTACAGTAGTACTAGAGAAGAGAGATTGGGCAGAGGCCAGGGAGACTTACCTGCAGCGCCATAGCTCCAGCTTCGCCTTCGAGGTACCTGCAGCACGGCGCCATCTTCACAGGTTAGTACCTGGCATCTGAGAGAGAGAGTTCTTCTTCTTCCTCTTCTCAGTCCACCATCTCCCTCTCACCCTCTCGCTACCTGACTTCACTGCATCAGCAGACTATGAGAGAGCGGGCTWGGTGACATTGGATYCAGACTCRACATTGGGYTTCAGACATTTGACGAGGGATTATCTGGGACTTGTAAYGAAGACTTGGTGTTGACRACATTCCCATCTTCCCCCCTCCTCTTCTTCGTCTGTTTCCCTTCTCTTCGTCTGTGCATGATCTGGACCTGGCGCATTCTTCCTGTGTGTAGCGCCAGGCCCCCTTCACACCTTGTGACAAGGATGATGTATGTTTGGTCTGTACTGCGACATTGATTGGGCTAGTCATTGGTATTCTAGCATTCTACTGCGCTGTCTTGCACTACGTGAAAGAGGTCAGTCCTGGTCAGGTCAGGACTTGTATCTAAGTCTTCCCCTGCGCTGTAAAGCAACATTTTTGTATGTATCAGAATGTACACTGCTTCTTGAGATTCTACTTGCACTGCATTGTCCATTCAGTCCTTTTTATCACATTTGCGGATCCTCGGTTATATATGTACATCGCCCAACTGGGCATGTAACATTGATCATCTCAACTTCCTCATTTTCCCAGATCCCAGTCCCTTTAGTATGTTTAAAGCAAGCTTTCTCTCTTTGTATAACCTCATTGTCAACAGTCCTCCCAAATGTCTCCTTTCAAATTAACCATAGTGTGGCCTTCTTACGCATGTTAAGGATGTTCTTCTCAACAGAGGCTCAGGGGTACTGGTGGTTTAAGAGAGTCATAAGGGATGATTGGAATATATCAGCGGGAAGGAAGGGGGTGAATGGAGTGCATAGCGAGGGGAAAGGGGGCAGGAAAGGGGAAGCAGGCAGGGGAGTTGAGAGGCCAGTGGACGACAAAGAGCAAGGGTGGGGAGGGGGGGGCTTGTAGGGGGAGTATATGAACAACAGACTGACACCCTTGCTGGCTCAATGCAGGTCGAAATGGCTTCCGGAACTAAACGTCAGGCAGTCGTTCTTAACCGGCACTTCGTCGACCTCGATCCAGCAAGGAAGGATATTGCCAACGGTTAAGGTATGAGAAGTGCTGGTATTATGAAAAAGGTCAGCTGACAGTCAATCCTTCAAAACATGGAGTAATTAATGCTCATCAGAGGTCCTTTTCCCTTGACGGAAGGAAGTGTGAGTTGGTGTAAAAGGTATCGGACTGAGGGTCCCCAGAATGGATACTAAAGCCGGTCCATAAGCACATGTTTCTCCAATTAAAAAACTAAAGAAGTCTTGGTATTATGAAACTTCACAGGCACAGCAGCCTGATTGAGGGAGCTGTGACACTCAGCTTCACAGGAAGCACTCTTTTCTGCGCCCCTTTTACACAGGGGTTGTATTGAGCTGCTTTGATAGTTAGGGAATTTTCTCTCGTCTGTCATCTTTATCCTTCTCCTCTCTCTCTCTCTCTCTCTCTCTCTCTCTCTCTCTCTCTCTCTCTCTCTC